CCCCCCCCCCCCCCCCCCCCCCCCCCCCCCCCCCGCCCCTTGAAGATCTTGACTCTGGATACATCCGCTACTACTCAGCTCTATAGCCCACAACTAAGCTGTGCGGATATGGCCACCTTCCTTCCTCAGCACAGTGCTGCCCCTAATGGGCTCCAGCGCCAGCTACCCGCAGATAGCGCACAAGTGCCAGAAGCACTTCCACACTTCTTGCGAATGAGCAATCCGTCTGAAATGAGGCTGGCCAGTCCTTATATTGACTTGAACTGAGCCTTGACTTGTCCCAGCCTCTGCTTTTCTTGGCTTGACTTGGATCCGGTACTGGCTGCGCTCGGCCTGTTTGCTTCAGAATGTTGAGGCCCAGTACCTTCCTGGGCTTTTCCCTGGTGTGCTGATGCTTTGGGTCTGCAGGACGTGACCCTTGCCAGTGGAATATGACTTTGACTGTGCGACATGACTTTTGCCTGTAAGACGTGACCGTTGCTTGTGGGATGTGACTGTTAACTCTGGGATGTGACTGTTGATTGGGTACCTGTTGGACTTGACCTCTAGGGTACCCAACCTGACCTTTCTGAAACAGGCCGACAAGGCCTCCTTTGGCCTGGGGAATTCGACCCTGAGATTCGAATTTGGGGTCTGCATCGTGGAATGCCTTTCAGGAGTCCCATCAAGAGTTTATCTGAATATCAGTCCATGCCAAGTGCCCTTTTTTCCAGTTCTCTAAAATTTACTTTCATTTTTTCAAATCATTGTGGCCCGCTAGAAAAACCTGGTTGTGGCCTTCACTAACAGAAGTCGGGGCGCCAGCGATATATTCAACCAAATAGTGTAATAATAAGAGCATACTCACACTAGGCCCTCAAACTCACAAAATCACAAAATGAGTGGCCAGATCGAGTCCTTGTAAAGGAAGGACTAGATCTGGCTGCTCATTTTGGGATTTTGCGATTTTGAGGGCCTAGTGTGAGTGTGCCCTAACTCAATACGACGCCCGTGGAACCCCTCCTCCCAGCTGTATATCACCTCTCAACACAGCTGCATGCTCTGTCATTGTGGCCTTCTGCAGCAAGCTCCTGACAAGTCATATCCGTCGTAACATTCCTGGACATCTCCATCTTTCCTCTTTTCTGGCCTTCCCACATATTCCGCAAACTATTTTCATCGTGGTACAAGAGAGTGCAGACCCGCCTTTTTTTCTGTCAGCAGATGTGATAAGAATCTATAGGCCATCCGTTTTTAAATTGATTACAGAGGTACGAGGAAAGTAATCAATCCTGCCAGGGTTCCCCGGGCCGTAAAGTGGGGAAGTGTGGAGAGTAAGAGGGTATTGGAAAGATTGTTTCGAGGGCCGGGCCTGACTCCCAGCAGGTAACACTCCCCGCCAATAGAAGGGAGCTTCTCTTGTCTTTAAAAAATAATAATAATAATAAAAAGTAAAAAAATAAAAGAACGAAGAAGAAGAAGATTAGACAGGCATTGAGAGTCTTCCAATGCCACATGGAGTCTAACACCCCAGCGCACACACACACACACACACACACACACACATCTCTCAGCATCTGCATACAATGCACATACTGGAACACCCCAGCACAAACCTACAGCATAAGGGGAGAACCGGAGACAAACATCTTCTCTATCACAGCAAATAACGGTGACCAATCACCAGCAAGAAGAGTGACCTGGATGCAAGTTTTGACAACCTTCACGACTCATCATGACTTCCACAGCTCAGTTCCTCCAACCCATCTGTTATCAAGAAACCTGTTTTCTTAAAATGGCTCATGACTCTCCCATCCCTTCATCAACCATCCCATCGCCTGGATCAGACAAGTTGAATGGCTTCTCAGTCTACTGTTGCTTGCATAAGTGTTACACCATCGGTCCCAAAACACTATAAACCCCATCAGTGCCATCACTAAGAAAAAGCCATTGCTGGCACTGCATCATCACCACCAGTCATCCGGTCTCACGTACGGCACAACAACTCTACTTTAGACCGCTAGTACATGGCCCCAGACTTGCAGTCCAAAACTTGTCACCACAGGAAGACGAGGCCGAACCGTCAAACGCCGGTGGTCGCTTTTTCGTTTCGTGTCTCAGGAATTCAAGGTGTCAGGCCCGCGGCCCAGGTAGCCGTTCTCTGGTGCTTAAAATCTGGCCTTCTTCCCATAACCTAAACGATCTCCTAGAGGTTTGGTGCGGACCCTCCACATTATCCACTGGTATTATTACTTACCGACACTAATTAATTACCGACTATGACATCAACAACAATACTAGAGTCTACATCCTCAACCGCATCTGCAATCTCAAATCACTTTTGCCACAGGCAATGATCATCATCCTATCCCCAGCCATTTGTGTTAGAAGAGACACTGTCACGGTCATGGTTGATGAATGCGGACTTTATGAAATAGGATGGCAGTGACAAATAAATCCTGCCTCCACTGGGCAGTGCCCAGAGCTAGAGATAATGACTTGCCTTCCTCAACGTATCTAGACAGTTTTCCTCCTTTCGGTGCATGCACTCCTTACAATCATGTACTCCAGTGAAATGGGACAGTGACCAGCACAGACTATTTGGATGGACGATGGTAAGTTGTCAGTAACGGTCTGCCTTGCTTTGACTCGTACACTTACAATTTGCCCAGAGCTAGAGATGATATATTTTCCTTCCTCCGTGTGGAGAGACGATTTGCCTTGCTTTGACTCGTACACTTACAATTCCGTATTTTGTGAAATCGGGTAAGACTTCCAGAGAGCAGAGATTGGAGCCAATCCATAAGAATGGACCCGACCACCTCAGGGTACATTGCCCGTCTCAAGTATGATCAGAGCCTTCTGATTTCCGACAACCTGTCGATGTCCCGTCCCCATTTTCAAACGAATCTTTGACACATGGTGACTTCTCATAATAATTTTTTTTTTTTTGCCACCTTTCCACCTGTCAATCAAACCACGAATCCTAATGACGCAAATACCGATGCTTCATACCCTTCAGAATGAACGGACAACGTGAGAAACAACACGTACATGCTATATACCCTCCAAAACAAACTTCCTCCATGACCAAGCCCATGTCATGTCCGAAAGTAATGCAACAAGTGCTGAATGCTAACTCTTTTTCTGGCCACAAATAAACAGAGAAGGAACAACTCAGTTGCAGGGCTTTGAATCTTTGTGGGTTGCCCAGCGGATAATTCGCCTGTGATGCTCACTCAGTCACCGGTCAGTGCGTTTCAAGCTTGAGGGCCATCATCAAAATAACGGAAAAATATGAAGGCAGTCACAATAAGAGCCCCCCCGTGGCTGCTTCCAAGAAGAAGAAGAAAAAGAAGAAGAAGTGGAAGAAGAAGAAGAAGAAGAAGAAGAAAAAGAGCGTCCACCAGCCTTTGTGAGGGTCATCCTGAAAATCAGTCTGCCGGGCCTTTCAGGACCCAGCTTCCAAAACTGCACTGGAGAATTTTCCCTCTGCACAGGGGATCCAAAGTCTTTGAATGCCATCCGCCGCACCATCATCAACCATAGCCAGTCCATCTTGGAGAAGCGTCCGAAAAGCTTCTGCAACTCGGTCTCCCTTCCATCCAAGCCGAGCCACGACACCAGGGGAAGTAACATAACCCCTCTCCAGGGCTAGCTCAAGAATGGCGTTATGGTCCGTGCTCAGCTCCGTGGGAACAGAACGCACCAGCTTACGTCTGCCTACTGACAGAACTTCGAACCCATTCCCTAGAACCTTTAGCTTGCCAATTGCACGAAGGCAATCATCTTCAGACACAGACTCCCTGCTTGCTCGATTCTTTGATGCCAGCAGTGACTGCAGCTCGTTCAAGTCGATGAGACCCCCATTATGCACCCGTGTCGCAAGGCAAATATCTACAATCTGCACCCCGAGCTCATAGTAGAAGTCTCCGATTCCTAGCAGCTCTGCCCAAAACCCCTTGTTTGATGCAAGTGGGTCTACTCCGCAGTTTGCACACATCTCATGGAACTGCGCTCGGAATGTTGGATTCCTCCTTATATCATTGATGTGCTTGCGTGCAAAATCTTCAAGATTGCTTCTGAATGTAGCAAGCTGCTCCCTCATCTGGTCCATCTTGAACCTGGCAACATTCTTGCCGAGCGTCTCAAATTGATTCCTGGCATCAGTCCTCTGCCTGAGGCCGGCGATCCCTGGTCTCTTTTTCATTCTGCGACCAGACGAGAAACCCAGAACAATCGAAGAACTCGCCTCATTATTAATTGAATAACCACCGACCCAAATGATGGCCATCACATGCAGCATGATGCAAATGACGAAGATCATCCCGTCCACTACCTACACATGTTCCCCACCATCTCGTACGAACGGCTGGCAAGCACTGAGTACAGCCAGAACTGAAGCATGGATCACGAAGCTAAAAAGAAAACAGATCATGGAGCTCTTTTCCCTGTTGTAAGTTCTGTCATGGCCTTTCGCATTTCATATCAACCAAAGCCTGACCAGCATTCCCGTCACCTCAGACGACTGGCAAAGCCCACCCACCTGACTGAAATTGGCGATCAACTCCACACTCTCGGGGATAAAGAACCCTCTAAGCGAAGGTGCCCAGCAATTGACCAGTATGAGACTATCGAAGAAAATATGTTTACCCGATACAACATTATGGTACTCGATGGAACTAGGATGGAATTAGGAACAACGAGCGTGATAAAAAAGAATCTGAAATTCCTTTGGACTTCCCATAGACCCACTAGTCCACTGCTACGATTGCTAAAGCCACGACGGTGGCTCTTCAGGTCAACAGCAGACACACATCAAACTCATCATTACGGCTCAGCACCATACCGTAGTTTCACAATTACTCATCAAATGCCCCTCCAAAGACTGCATCATACATCCAATACACATTGTGCCAGCACCATAGTCCCTGAAGCTGTGCTGACCTAAAGTGAGTGACTAAGGCGCACACACGAATGAGTTCACAAGGAATGTGGTACGGAAAATATGAACTCGATTCACTCTGCCTTACACCCTCTCTTCAACTCCTCCAATCATCCATGATCATTACAAGAAGGCCAGCAGTCACTCTCAAGACGGTGCAATGCCGGCTCCCTCTACCTTAACTCCACCTCTTCGACCTCTCCAATCAACAATACTACTGAAATATATACTAAAGCCACCAGTCACTGTCAAGCTAGTGAAGTATTGGTTTCAATTGAGCCCACAATAACTTCCAACAGTACACAACTGTGGACCACAACCCTACTTCCTCATACAGTGCCTTCGTCATAAAACACCAGTCATATTTGAGTGTGTCCGACGCCTAACGCCATTCCCCCTGCATCCCAGCTCGCATCCTAGGCTATCCTGAGTTATATGGCCCTTCTACCATAGCTCGGAAGAAGAAGCGCTAGGCTTAGTGTGGCTTCCTCCAACTGGGCACCACATCACATGAAACAAGCACTGAATGCAAGAATGTGGAAAGGGTCCAGCAGCTGGGAGGTTTCCACCCTGACTGACTTGTGGCGCCATAGGATGGGTTGCGCGGGGCAAAGGACCATGTAGCGGCCTCCAGGCCCTCTCCAGAAACAGAAAGTTGTTGACAAACCACTGGTTTTTCTTCATAAGAGGAGGCGGTAGCCCAGAAGCTTGCACATAACTCATGCTGCTTATATTCAAACTGAGACCAAAGACCCTGGAGCACCGAACCTAAGAGTTCTCAGCCTACCGGGGCACAGTGGGGGCAAAATACATGCGAACGTTTGCCGGGTTGTGTTTTTTTTTCCTGAAAAAAAAGAACAGAAGAGGGACGGTCTTCAGATATCATCATTGAACTGACCTGCCCCAGGTGATTCAGAATGATTTTATTCTGGTCAGCTTGCTGCATCTGGATTTGAACTTGGGTCCACATTTGAACAGTTCATGCGTGTAGCTAAAGTTGCTAAACCCATGCCAGGGTGTGTTTTGCCATCCAGGAGTTTTACTTTTTCCTGGTAATTTTCCTCAATAGATAACCAATTATTCTACATCCGTGATTCGTTTTTCAGAATTGTTCCTAAAAACATCATAAGCACACAAGTTGCCAGTGTCAACACAGTGCACTCCTCCTCACAAGGCTAGCAGCTGACACTAGCCAAAAAGTGTAGGGGACACCTCAGCTGAGCGGGCAGCACAGTGAAGACAAGTAGTCTGCCTGTCCGTCCACAAGGTGCCGAGGAAGAAGGATACCGGAGAAAAGCGATGAGGGGCCTGAAGATGGCAGTGAAGTGGATGAACTGTTTGGCAGTCGACCACTGCAATCGTTGAGCGGTTATGATGCAATGATGAAACGGGAGAAAGAAAAACGTTTTTGACACATATTATTTTTTCACTTTTCTAGCATTTTTCCCTAGTACGGAAGCATGTACCCAACATCCATGTATTCTTCCAAGTACCTCATTGAAGCAGATGACAGTGAGAAAACGCCACCATGAGGAAACCCAAAATTCTAAGCCTCGCTGCCGTCGGGCAGCTCACCCCCCGTAGTCGCAATCTGACCACGGCCCCGTGTTAATGTGGACGCTCTTAATCTGAGGCTTCACGCCTCAGTGAGCCCCAGAAAGGATGCTCATGGAAAAAGACAGGCCGGTCCTAAGTGAATGGAACGCCTGACAAAAGGTGGGCTGGCCCTAAGAGAAGGCCGCACCTAGCTACACTAGGGCTGAGATTGGAGCCAGGCCCAGGTAACTACGCGTAGGCCCTGCCTCCTAGTTAGTTATGCGGGATGGGACCCAGACTCAGACCAGTAGGCAGTACGGTCCCACCCAGACAGGAGAAAAGAGAGGAGGAAGAGAAGGACATTGGCAGCAGTTCAGCAGTGCTGGAGCAGTGCATTGCGGCCAGCTAGCGCCCGGGCAGAAGGAAGCAGCCACGAGGACACCATGTGGGACGAGACATTGGGACATTGGCAGCGGTGCAACAGTGATGGAGCAGTGCATTGCTGCAAGATAGCGCCCAGGCAGATGGAAGCAGCCGTGGGAGCTCCTAGGCCAGTGGTAGCTACCTCGGCTGCCGTAGCTGGGCAGCGCTGAGCAAGGAGCAGTGTGGCGTGATGTTGGGGTGGTCAGAAAAGAAGGACGGGAAGGAGAGGGAGGGGAAGGAGAAGGAGGGGAAGGAGGGGAAGGAGGGGAAGAAGGAGGGGAAGAAGAAGAAGAAGAAGAAGAAGAAGAAGAAGAAGAAGGAGAAGAAGAAGGAGAAGAAGTAGAGAAGAAGAAGAAGAAGAAGAGAAGAAGAAGAAGAAGAAGGAGAAGAAGTAGAGAAGAAGAAGAAGAAGAAGGAGAAGAAGTAGAGAAGAAGAAGAAGAAGAAGAAGAAAAAGAAGAAGAAGAAGTAGAAGTTGATGTGAGAAGAAGTAGAGAAGAAGAAGAAGAAGAAGAAGAAGAAGAAGAAGTAGAAGTTGATGTGCAGGGTTAGAATCCCTGTCGCGCAATGTACACCTTTTTGCATGCATAACTAGGAAAAGTGGAGCTCGTCCAATCACAAAAGCTTCTAATGATTGGCTCAAGGGTGCCCAGGGCCAGTCAGTGGGGAGAGTGGTAGCAGAAGAGGGCAGAAAACCATGTGTGGCCTTTGAAGATCGGACCAGGCAGGAGGACTTGGGTCGCTTTTGACTCGCTACAAATGTCCCAAGCCCGTTCCCTCCTGCTGGCCGAGCACTGGAAGAAGTCAACTGGCTTTAGTCTGGAATAGGGTAATAGGGCGTGCTACCTCTTGATGTTGTCTGTCTGCACCCCGCATGTGTGTTGGCTGCCTGTATGCATATCGGCCGTGTGTGCATATCTCATACAAGGGAGCGGAGTTGCATTGCTGATCTGGCCTGAGTTTCGTTTGTTTGACATATGGTGCCTCCAGGAAGGAAGGTGACGAGGCTCCTATTGAGATCGTAGCAAGTCCAACACTGAACACTGAGCAGTTAATCCCCTTGTCCCAAGGGCAATCTATGCTTTTGTAATGACATGCCAAAACACAGACTGAGAACTCTGCTGATTTATGAGTTTTGCCGCTGGAATGTATGCCCTGCTGAGATTCCCGCATTCTGCTAAGTTTTATGAGTCTGTGTATGTGTGTGCCTGCTGGTCTGCATGCTTGTCTGAGTGTTTGTCGGCCTCAGTGTGTGTGTCACCCCCAAGAGTTCTTGTTCGTTTGGAGGCTCCACAGGGCTGGTACTTACCTGTGGCCGTGGTTGCAACGGGAAAAACACTCAAGTAGTCGGGGTAGGCCCGCAACACTTGAGAGCAGCGGAAAAACACTCAAGTTTGTACTCGAAGCCGAGCAGAAGAAGACAAAAAAATGGCATTTTTAGAGGCCCAGTAGCAGTAGGCTAGAGGTAGGCCGGTACCAGTCCAAGTAGCCTGAGTCTAGGGCTTGTACAGACGATATCAGAATCTGCAATGATTTTCCGTCCGAAAGGGAGGAGGTACCGGTTGCTTGGAGGCCATGCAGCCTGGAAGTCACCGCCCAAGAGGCAAGTAGGCCACTATATCTTCTGGAGGAGCGCGTACCTCCTCCTCATTTGCGGTGTGCAAGGTGGGGCGACATACTGCTTGAGCTGGCAGCCTGGACTCAAAGCGGTGCTTGGGAGGATGAAGAGGAGTTGGGCGCTCAACCTGGCTATCGAAGGAGGAGAGTGGCGTGGTACCTACCTGGCTATGGTAGACACCATCTTCATCACCTTGCTAGGCGCTGCATCTGGAAGGCCCCAGTTGGAGTAGTGCCACACCAAGGAAGCTCCGAGGCCGAGTCAGGCATGGCGGCCTGAAGAGCAGCGATCATAGCTGCTTTGTCTTTTGCACAGGAGGGCAGAAACCTTCGTAATCCGCCATAGCCTTGGCATGTGAGAGGAAGGTGGAGGGGGAGGCCCTGGCTATTGTGGATCTATTGTTGTACTGGCGGTAAGAGGGAACTTAAGAATGATTCTGGTTCAACCACTCATTGTTATTATTATTATTTGGAAAGAAGAATAAGATTGGTGAAGACAACGAGGAGGAGGAAATTGGAGAGAGAAGGGGAATTTCTCATTGGTCTTGCTGGTGTACATCTTCTTCTTCTTCTTCCTTCTTCTTCTTCTTCTTCTTCTTCTTCTTCTTCTTCGTTCTCTCTTCTTCTTTGGTCTCTATCTCTTTGCAAGTGCTTTCATTTCTTTCGCAATTGGGTGGCATTGTCTTTCCTT